CACTGTTACTTCCAAAAAGGGGACCCTTAGTTGAGCTCTTAGTCAGGGATCGTCATGAGAAAAACTCGCACGCGGGCTGTAATGCGCTATTGGCCATCCTACAGCGCGAGTTCTGGATCTTATCGGGACGACGAACGGTACGTAGCGTTGTGTTTAGGTGCTTGCCTTGTTACCGCTTGAAGGCAGCCACAATGCAGCCACAGATGGGAGATCTCCCACCGGATCGGGTGACGGAGGCCTGGACGTTTGCAGGTGTGGGAACGGATTTTGCAGGCCCTTTCATGGTAAAGGCATCACGCCTACGGAACGCAAAGTCTATCAAGGCGTACTTGTGCGTGTTCGTGTGCCTAGCCACCAAGGCCGTCCACTTGGAGCTCGTGGCCGACCTATCTACGGAGGCCTTTTTGGCAGCGCTGGAGAGATTTACGTCGCGACGAGGGCGACCAGCGCTGATCAGGTCGGATTGTGGTGTATTATGGTTTCGTTTAAAAATAAGTATAAATATTTAAAGGGTGTGCTCTAGTGAATTCTGGTTACAAAGCTGAACAATTTTTATTAGAAGTTTTCATCGAAATAGAATTTGGGCCCTTCATACTGAGTGACGAACATTTTCAGCACGTTTGTATGGGAGGTACAATTTTTTTACCATATTTCGAAAGAAAGCTTCTTATAAAAGATGTTCAGTTTTGTGTGTTGAACACGCATTAAAAATATTTGTACTTAATTATAAGTCAACTGACACTTACTTAAAGTCTTTTCAATAATATACGGACTTTCCTTACAATAATCTAGTGTTTTATTACCCTTTGGTCACAAGAAAGGTTTTATTTTAACCGACCACAGTTACAATACAAATATTATTTTTATGAATCTAGAATCTACATTCAACTTCACAATTTTGTTATCCTTCTTCGTTCATTCGACGTTTCCTGCTGCCATTTGGTTTAACTTGTCCTCTGCTTTACTTTCAGTAAATTTTAACACTTCTCGTGACCGTAGTGGTAGATACAGCATCCACACAACGCGTAGGCATTTCATTTATTTTGCAGCCCTTTAAAATGAGTTCAAGGCAAACTTCTGGATCCACTTCACCGTAATAATAATAAATGTCGACGGGATCATCAGAACTTAATCTGTAATCCATCGCGCTGAACCAAACTTTGTGGTTTGGATCTTGACATGTAAATGTCACCGTAAAATTACAAACAACGCTGGGTTATATTATAATATAATCTATCTCGCTTAATTGAAATATTGTAACCTATTCACTCGTATTACAATTTAACGTATCATTTTTCAGTAGATTACAATATAACGGACCAAAACCGTAAAACTGTGATACGATATTATACAGCTCGCGTTCTGATTGGTTAAGTCAAGTATCATGTTGCCAGCGACGCCATGTTTGTTTCACAAGTGATGGCCATCTCGTTGGTTCTCGAACATAAACTGACAGATTTTGTTACTTTTTTTATAATTTCATGTTGAAAATTGCTGAAAATAATCTCATAAGCACTGTTTGCTTAGGCACAAACTCCACCAAAAAGACGAAGGGCATAGGACGTAAGAATGACAGTTGACAGACAAGTAATCGTCAAACATTCTTCTTAATTTTTGACGCTAGCTGTCATAGATGCGACGCTTTGGCGACGCTTGTGTGTGCCTTTGCCAATACGTTTTCATACATTTTATAGAAAACCGTTTCCAAGCGTCGCCAAAGCGTCGCGATATCAAACGTCAAGCGTCGTAGGGCATGTCCTATGTCCTCACTGTGGAGCTTGGGGCTTACGTTCGATACTTTGAAATGCCGACATTCGACGACATACACGACATTCGACCAATCAGAATGCGAGTTGACACCTTAGGTTGACACTTTTACCGTTTTACTTCATAATATTGTAATATTCTGCAAATTTATACCGTTTGTATGTCTTACAATATTTCGACAGATTGTAATTTGGCGGCGAATATTATAATCTAGCGGTGTTTGTAATTTCACGGTGACATACTAAATACATATTGAGTAGCTGTGAAGGCTACTTTGCCGTCGGCTTCTTTCTTCACACGCTCGGCTATGAATCTGTTTTTTTTGCAAAGGAATTTAGTCCGAGCGGCGGCGGGTCTCAAGCTCAACACTATCTCACAAAAGAATAAATATTTTAGCTATGTACGGGTAGAGGAGCTCTAGTACTTCAGATTGGTCGTGGTCTGCCGCGGCGCAGCTTGGCACGTTTGGCGGAGTAGCTAAAAGTTTGCCATCTGAAAAAAGTTTAAAATATCTCTTCGAAGAATAGAATGAGACATGGCTGTAGCGATAGGAGTAGTTTAGTAAAGCGTATAAATCTTGGTCTGCCGGCTTCTATCTTGGCACGTTTGGCGGAGTAGCTAAAAGAATGCCCTCTTAAAAAAGTAAAAAATATCTCATCGAAGAAAAGAATGAAAATATATCGTACCGATAGCTTGCTTGAGTCTGCCTACATATATAACTGGTCTACCTGGCCACAGCCTGGCAGTTTTCCAGGTCGTAGTGGCACGCTACGGCCCGCTACGCTTGCTACGCGGCGTAGCAAACAGTCTATATCCCTTGCGGGGTAGGCAGAGCGTAGACGGCTGTAAAAAACGGCCATTTACATCACGTCTGAGAAAAGTTTGAGATTTCGTACATCTCAACTAAAAGCTTTTGAAATCAATCAGTCTATTCTTAAATTTCGTTTTGTTTGATATAGTATCATAATTGAATGCTATAGGTAGGTATACTAATAAATTAACATGTACAAAATAAAATAAAACCTTTATTGAAAAGTAAATATAGACACGTATACCGAAAAGGTGATACAAAAGAAAAATATTAAAAAAATGCGAAAAAGTATTCTACATAATAAAGTGATTATAATTATTTGAATGTTATGAAGTTATTACATAATAAAGTGATTATAATTATTTGAATGAAATGCTCAAATATGAGCTTCTTTACTCATTACAAACTAAGTTAAGTATCTTATCAACTACAGCGCTCGCCCCAGGGCAGCCCGCAGCTGAAAGTAGATTATGGATGATAGCTTTTAGCGAGCCGCAGTCCAGTTTCCTGGCTTCCTTAAGGCGACATTCCAAGTATTCAATAGTCGCATGCTCCAAATCCTCATCGCTGTGACCGCTCGCATTGCAGTAGATGCTGGAATTTCCATTCTGCACTGATTCATTTGCTGCTGTCTCCGCGGGCTGTGTGGAGTTCTGTAACAAGAGGAAGAAATTCAAGCTTAACTGTTAATATCACAACAAACACATACAATTTCAATATTAGTATAAAGTCGCTTTTTGCGTTTTTCTGTCTATCGTGCTAACTCCAACTAAACCACGCAACGACTTTTGATGAGGTTTTTTTTGTAATAGATAGAGTGATTCAAGAGGAAGGTTTTATGAGTTTATAACTCATAAAACATGCCGCGAAAATGCCCTTTTTCCACGGGAAAGTGAGCTGCAGCGGGTGAAACCGCTGACGGGCCACTGGTTAATAAATTTATATTTGAATGTTATACAAATGTAGTATTTACCTTGTAAATGAAAGTATCTCGCTCTTTACAGATCAACTTAAGTATTTTATCAACTACACCGTTTGCACCAGAGCAGCCCGCAGCTGAAAGTATATTTTTAATTATAGCTTTTAACACTTTGCACTTCCAACCCCTGGCTTCTGCAAGGCGACATTCCAAGTATTCTACAGTTGCATTTTTGAAATCGTCATCGCTGGGACCGGTCGCATTGCAGGAGATGTTGGTATTTCCATTCTGGACTGATACATTTGCTGCCGTCTCCGGGGAAGATGTAGAGTTCCGTACCACTTCTTGTTTGTCTTGTGTTGTCGAACAAGTAATTGACGATACTGTCACCACAGCGAGCAAAAGTAAAATCTTCAGCAGCATTTTTGTTTGAAGAAGAAAAAAGCACTTGTTCTGATCCAACTGTTGATCAATGAAGACTGATGTGGAAAATTGTATAGGTACCTAACACGAGATGTGTTTTAAAAATTTGGTATTCAAGACTGATGTGCCGTTCGTACTCTCCCTTGCCTTTTAAATGTTGCAGATAACATTTGGAAGCGTGTTTTCTATCTCTTCCATGAATTATGATCTTATCGCGACCGCAGGTCAAGGAATATGGATCGAAATGAAAATAAAAATTAAGTACCTAACTTAAAAAAATATAAACATCTCATTTCTCCGTATTCAGTAATTACTACACCCTTGAACTGACATACACTAATATAATTAAGAGGAAAGATTCGTTTATTTTTTAGGTTTTATTGATCTTTTGGTCCAAAACTCTTTCACCATTAAAGAGCTACAACATTCCTGAGTAACATAGGCTAATTAATTATAGGAAAATTCCTCATTCCCACGGGAAACGGTTAGCAGCAGGAAAAGCGGGAAATGTAGCGGATATCACCCAACTTCCCCACTTTCCGATCTTCGCGAAATTTGGCACTGATATTGCTAGCTTATTTAAGACGGACATGGACGACTTTTTGCTAGCCCTTGAAGATCTGGAGTAGGTACCTGATGGAGCACAGCCAAACTATATGAGATACGAAAATGGCTTCATAACAAAAGTTGTTCAGCATGACAAGCCGCCTTTGCTGGCACATGATCATGATGAGTCACTCCTGCTGGAACGGAATATTCGACTTTTTACTACGGGTAAAGATCCAATTTCTACGGGAAAACAGGAAAGTAGCAACGGATGAAACCGCTGGGCCCGCGCTAGTCTTTTAAATTTTTATTAAAAAAGAATGAAATGAAGATTCATTTTCTCACTTCCAATTTATGAGAATAATATATAGCACTGTGACTATGAGTGCATTAAAAATCCCAACACAGCAAAAAGCTTCATCATAATGGTTCAATTTACTGTAAATATGGACTAACCAAAGTATTTAGTTGTATACTACTACTAGATGACTCGCTTCGAGACGATAGGTTGTGAGATTCACTAGGGTCCGCTAGGCGTCCGTAGCTCAGTTGGCAGAGTGATGGGGCGGTACCCCACGGTTCCGGGTTCAAGTCCTGGCGGCCGCTAATGAATTTTTCAATTTTATCATTTTCAACTTTGTTGTCCGTCTGTCTGTCTGTCTGTCAAGACCCTTTATCTCAGGAACGCGTAAAGATATCGAGTTGAAATTAAAACCATATATCCCAAGAAAGATAGCAAAATCAGCGAAAAAAAATCCCCGGTAACGAAATGTTGTGGATTTGTATAGTGGAAAGTCCTCTTCACAACGTCCAATAAAATCCTCTCAAAAATATGCGGTGCTGGGAGTAGGGGGGTTAATTATGTGTCCCTTTTTTCAGTTTCTCGACTGTAACTCGTAAACGGCGCGTTGTAATTTCAAAATGCCGGAGAAACTATTAAAGCTCATTAAATTTCCTATAACTTTGTTATCAACATGAAAACCATAACATGAATGGTTTTAAAGTTGTGGCCATTTCAAAGTCGGTAGTTTTTTAACTTTTTGTATTACGACACTAAAAAGTGTTTGGACGTTTCTGTGGATCTTCGTTATCTTTAATGCAAACTATTTCAAAATTTGTGAGTAAACTAAAAAAATGAAATAATTAAATACGTGTTTCCGCATTTTGTAAATTTTAACCCTTAACAGGGTAAAAAAGAGGTTAAGAGTTTGTATGAAAAATCGTCATTTTTGAGGTGATCTGTTTCAAAATTTGGAAATAAGCGAATGACCCAAAATAATTAAACACGTGTTTTAGCATTTTGTAAATTTTAACCCTTAACAGGGTAAAAAAGAGGTTAAGAGTTTATATAAAAATAGGTGTTCCACCACACAGTCATCGCTCCATTTCAGCAGACCTGGAAAGAGACCATCCAGTCCTGCCGATTTGAACGGAAGGAAGCTGTTGATTGCCCATTTTACCTTGTCGAAGGTGACAGTTCTCTGGGCTCGTGTCCAGTCTGTTTGGGATGCTGTGTTTCCCGTCAACTCCTCCCAGTCTTGTGCCGCCGTAATGACACAGCCCGGGAAGTGAGTCTGGAGGAGGAGCTCACTTGTTTCCGCATCAGACTTGGTATAGGTGCCATCAGGTTTTTTTAAGGACCCAATACTGCGCTCAGGATCGCAAGTCAGGATATTCTTAATTCTGGTGGCTTGACTGTTGGATTCTATGTTGGTGCAGAAGCGTCTCCAGCATTCGGCTTTCCTGAGTCGGATCTGCTTTTTATATTGGTACTGGGTTTCTTTGTATCTGTCCCAGTCCAGCTCTGCACGTGTATTTTGGCTCTGTTGAACAGCTTCCTTAACTTGCGACGTAGTTTTTCCAGGTCAGGGCTCCACCAGTTATTTCTAACTGCGGTGCCCCGCCTAGGCGTCACAAGTGGGCATGTTTGTTCGAAGCAGTTCATCAGCGTGCCCGTTATTTGGTTGTTATGTGTGTCAATCTCCGCAGTGGTAGCATAGCGGGGAATTGCAATTCCCTTAAGATTTTCCGCGGTTAAGGTACGATACCTCACACGGTCCATCTTCCGGGAATGCGTCGCGGCTCTGCGGACTTACCATGATGTTTAAAGTGAAGATGATCCACCTGTGGTCAGAACAAGATATCTCTTTAGAAACATGCCAATCCAAGATGTGCCGCGATATGTATTCTGTAGCGAAGGTAAGATCAATGATGGTTTGGGCTCTTTTGGTAACGAATGTTGGTTCGGAGCCCCGATTGATTATATTCAAATTGGTAGCGAGCAAATAGTGGAATAGTTCATCACCTCGTGCATTCGACTTCTCGCTGCCCCAGATTATGTGGTGCGCGTTGGAGTCGGCTGAGATGATAAGCTCCAGTCCTTCTCTCTCGCAGTGGGCCACCAGCGCCATGAACTCCGGAGTGGGCACATCCTCGTCGCCAGGCAGATAAGCGGACGCAAGTACCAGCTCCGGCAGGTCAAGGGAAGGATTGCTCAGGAGCCTGATAGTGGTCAGGTCCCTGGAACAGAACTCGGTCATTAGAACACATGGTATATGTTTGGGTACAAATATGCAGGTCCTTGGATTACTTACAGTGGTGTTTAGTAGGAGCTTTCCCCCAATGTTGGATAGACCACAGACCGAGCGACCGAGGGATAAACCCGACCCAAACAGCCAGGGCCAACCGTACGGTGGCGATTAATCCACCACAAAAGCATTCCCAAGGAGGGTTGACGTCTGGTAGGCGGCCGGTCGTAAAATTAAGCTAAATCCTTTGCAACACGATTTTGTGTTCAACAAAACGTGTTGCGCCGACCCCAAGTAATTGGGATAAGGGCAGGAAGATGATGACTATCAATAAATTAACCGTGCCCATACAAGTACTTACGTCTAAACAACTTTGAGATTGAACGAATTTCAGCCGAGATATAAAATAGTCGTTTGAATCAAATGTCAACCAAGTAAAAATAAAAGAATTTGTAACTGGGATTTTTTTAAATATTTTTTACGGTATCCTTTATCGATACTAAACGTACCCTGACTGAAGCTATGTCACGCATTTAAATTAACACCCTGTATACTACTATTTGCTTTATCTGTGATTTTCCTGTAATTTTTGGACGAATGCCAAAGGTGAAGTTAACGAAACGATAGCAAATACAGAGAACTTTTTTATCTTCTATTTTAATGTTTACATGATTGATAAACTTTCGTTACTGGGAATACTTATTAGATAAGCAATCTACAGACGAAAGGTGAATTACCTGCAAAATATTCTGTTTGTCGTGTGGTGCCGGCTAAGAATAGTATCACCCCATATCGAAGCGACTCTTTGGAAGCGACTAATGGATTTGAGAGTTGACAATTTTAGGCGTCAGACTGACAACCTGTCTCTGGCGATACACAGTCTTCTGAATGCATCACAAACTTTTCTCAGACGTGGTGTAAATGGCCGTTTTACAGCCATTTACGCTCTGCCTACACCGCAAGGGATATAGGCGTGATATGTGTGTATGTAATTTTATGTTTCGCGCGTGTAACTGTTTGCTACGTCGCGTAGCAATCGTTGCGGGCCGTAGCGTGCCACTACGATTGCTACGCTATAGCTAAAAATTCGAGATAAAAACAAACTATATATGCCTACATGATAGGCTGAGCTGTTCTGTAAATTCTTTATTTTGTGATACACATCACACCTTTTTCCGTTGCGGGGTAGGTAGCTATACCTACTGTTAAAGTTAATACAGGCATCACATAAAAACATACCTATGTACCTACTGTACTGCGGCTAGTTTAAAGCCAGGTCAATTGGGGACAAAATCCCAGAAACTTTGTAGGTATACGAAACACATCAGAAACAAAGTTCTCAGCAAATGTTCTCACGAATTTGTTTGAAATGTGTACCTATTCAATGGGTACATTTTTGAGAAACTTTTGTATTACAATGTTTCGGAATTTTGTGCCAAAAATGTTTCAAAATGAATACTCTCCTTCATTGTGACTCTGCCTTTTTAGGGTTTCGTAGTCTACTAGAAACCCTTATAGTTTCGTCAAGTCTGTCTGTCTGTCTGTCTGTATGCCGCGCCCTCATAACTCCGTCAGTTTTAGAGCTATCGACATGAAATTTGGTGTAAAGATAAATCGTATTGACCCAAATTTAGAAATGTTGAGAAAAAAATATTTCAAATGTTTTTTGGACCCCCTTCCCATACATGTGAAAGGGGGGCAAAAAAATTTTTTTTCTCTTGTAATATTGAGTAGGGTATCGTTGAATAGGTCTTTTAAAACTAAGGGGAGGTTTGTTTGAAACAAAGTCTCTAAAATGTTTCTGTCTCAAGATATTTGCTCTTAAAAGGGGCGTTTTTGAGCCATTATTTGTTCCAGCTGTAACTTCTAAAGTATGCATGCCCAAAATATGAAAAAAATATGGAATATAGTTCTTAATATGAAGTTACCATGAAAACTATAACGAATACTGTACCACTTAACCTCCCATACAAAAATGTTGAAGAAGTGTGTCACTTAGTATGGGAGGACCATTTTTTTTTCATATTTTGAATATAAGTATCTAACAAAAATTGTTCAGTTTTGTGAATAGACCTCACCCTCAAGATTTGTACTTAATTATATGTAAACCTGTATAATTATTTAATTAAAAAACGTTGGACGCCCTCCGGCCAGATGGACCGATGACATAAAAAAGGCGGCTGGTAGCGACTGAATGGCAAAAACTGGAGATCGTGTCTTATGGCGTTCCCTGGGGGAGGCCTACGTCCAGCAGTGGACTGCAATAGGCTGAAATAGAAATAGTAATACATGGTGGACCATGGAGTGACGTCAATAAAAAGAAATTAGATTCCTCACATCTTAGGGTATTCGAAAATACCCCATGTATGCTCCGCGATTATTTTTATTAATTTTCCGAGTTATTCAATTTTTAAAGTTGTATGGGAAAATCTTGACTAGCAGTAATTTTTCTTTTTTTTTACTTCCGTATAGGGCTTTTCGCGCGGTTGATTTCATAGCACAATCTTTATAATTTGTACTTTTTGGCGTACAAAAAAAGAAAAAAATCTGCCATTCGTGTTTGTCCCATACAAATTTAAAAGTTGAATAACTCGGAAACTAAAAATAATCGCGGAACATACCTACATGGGGTATTTTCGAATCCCCAAGATGTGAGGAATCTAATTTCTTTCTATTGACGTCACTCTATGGTCCACCCTGTATAAAAGATAAAGAGGTTCTCCGTATTCGTTCCGTTTACTTCACCTTTGACCAAAGAGTCCTTCATTTGACATTCAGGAAAATACCAGAAAACTAGAGGTGCCATAGAAGTGCTTATTTAGTTATTTATCTTTATTTTTACCCGACTGCCTTTTGAAGGAGTGTTATTTTTTTAAAGAGTACCTACCTAGGTATGTTGTATGTATTGGTAATATTGGTATGTATGCATGAGAAGAAAAATATTTTTACGGGCTACAGCCCAAACGGCAGGGCGGATGTTGAGGTGTCGTTGGATTCGTCTCAGAAGCGCGAGGACACGGGAAATATATTTTTCATCTCCTCTAGTCAAAAAACTACGCTTTGGTCGCACTTAAGTGC